GGGGACACAATTCCAACATGCTGAACAATAAAGGGTTCTTTTTCCTTGTGGTTTTTTTTAATACAAAATACAAGCGAAGGATACACATACTTAAAACAGAGCTCAGGAGCAGGTATGCAGTCCTGGGAACCCTTTCAATAAAAGCAAAGCAGGGTTTTGTTATTTTTTTTTTCTTTCTTTCTTTGCAGGTACATACAGAGACTGGAATATGTAAAATTAAGTAGCACAAAAGACCATCACACAATTCTACCAATGAATGTTGCATCTATAAATTCACGAACATGGTCAACAGTCATGTTCACTTCAACCCCTTAAAAAAAAAGTGTTGTTTTTATTTTAAATAAAGCATTAATGTTACATTCAGACTTAACTCCTAGTACCATGCGGTAGACCTCAGTATTGTCAAGGTATTGCAAGGGTCACCCACCCTTTTGGGCCCGGTGACGAACCACGTCTGCACACACCCGACCCTGGGCCAGCAGCGCTGTCTGCAGCTGCCCCTTTTTCTGTCTGCTCTTGAGATAACAGCAAATTAAAAGGGATGGGGAGGGGAACTGCAAAGAGCCAGATTTTTAGAAAAGCTCAACAGGGGATTGCAAATACTCAAGACAAATATTCATTGCATACCATATAACGATGCCTTGCTGATAGCCAAAGGCCCAAGGCCCTACCTGGAGTCTCCTCCTCTACCTTCCAAGTGATTATTCAGGGTTTGCTGTGACATGATGTTCATGGTTAAACAAAAATTATGTAGCTCTTATTTACAATTTTTTGTAACAATTGCTTCTGCAGGAAAAAAGAAAAGTAAAACTCACAAATCTTCAGAACACAAAGGGAATAAGATGTCAGACACTCCCATGCGCGCACGCACACCCGCGCACTCACACACAAAATACTTCAGGGGCTTTTACACACATTATTCTGGCTTAAGCTGATTGAGTATTTCTCCATCCCACCCACTACCCCTCCCAAAATATATATATAAAAAACCCTCGCCCCAATATACAAAGCATATGCACAATGGTGTTTTGCAGTCACACTGAGCATGCTCAGACCGATGGACCCACTCGTCACCGCGGCTGAAGGGGCAGGCAGAGCCATCTCCAATAGTGGTTGATACAGAGTCAGCACATGGCGAGAACTTTAGACTAGACTTCAAATATTTGTGGTTTGTTTTTAATAGAAAGAGTTCAATGAAAAGACATTCAAATGCCAGTCATCTACTGAAGTGGGAAGTCTAAAACGAGGATACAACTGATTTGGGGAGGTCTCGAAAGGACACTGTCATCTTTCAGAGCTCTGATACTCCTCATAGTGCTTGGAAAAAGTAATCTTGGACAGTGAGAACAGAATAATTAGTTTTGCGTCCTATTTAAACCTCCCAAAACTGTAGGAAAATAATCAAAGTTCAGGGAAAATTTCTTCTGATCATAAACATATAGAATATATAATTTCCACATATAGATGTGACCCCCCCAAACTAACGTATCCTATATACCAGCAACTACTTTGTGACAGTGTCCCTTTCAATATCCATCTGCTTACATTTTCATATCCTGCCTCCCCCAGCAGATGAACATCCACTTCTCAAATATTAAACGCATGGATCAGTTTGTAGTTTTTAAGAACCACGTGTTCAACAATATGATCTGTTATAAAAATAAACACTTCACAAACAAATTACATAAAGCAAAGCACCAGTTTCTACAGCTCAAAAGCTTCCAGCATGTTACAGTTTACTTCCCTCCCTCCTTTCCTTAACCTGGGTGCCTCAGTGTCTATTGTACCTTTGTGACCATCGCCAGCGGAGGGGAAAAACCAAAAAAAGGAAAAAGAAAACAAGGAACTGGAGCGCATCTCCTGGCCCTGCCCTGGCAGCCCCTCTCCTCTCCTCTCCTGCGGGTGAGTGGGCAGGGGCACAGGAGCTGAGCAGGCTCAGAACCGTGACCTGACCCTGGGGGGGCTCCCAGCACAAGTCACCAAGCTGAGCTGCTTCTCTGCCCGCACTTCTGCTTTCGTGAAGTTAAACCAACAAAATTAAAAGCTTCTCGGCTGCCCCGTTTCTAAGCCTTGCTCTCAGCCACAATCCATTCTGAAACACATTTAGCTTGACGTGTTTGGCGTTCTCATGCTGACTGAACAGAAACTAAAGTAGTTAATCTTTAGTATGAAAATCTCAACTGAAACTGGAAATTTTTACGGATCAAGCCTTGTGGCCCGTTAAAGGCAGTACTATGGCGTTAACTGTGAAACTGGATGTGGTGGTGGGGATTCAGATCCAGAACATAGGGAGGGATACACAATGGAAGTCAGTTATGAACTACCATTTTAAGAGTGAGACCAGGGCAGGGTGCAAGATTAACTGAGTTTTGGAATAAATCCATTTACCTCTCTGCAAAGGCTCCAAAACTACAGCTGTGTAACAAGACAATCTTTTCAGAGTCTTCTGTGAATGAAACCTTCTGCTCCATGAAGAACCATTCACACTCCTCAAGGCATTCTCACAGCTTTCCTTCAAGAAATCAGAATGCTTAATACAAATTAATTACAAAGGACATTTTAAAATCTTGTCTGCTGTACTGAAAATGTGTACTAAAAAAATGTAATAACCTTCACGATTTTCTTCTATGCGGAAAAATGTGAACTGCTGCATTTCTAACAGAGTAACCAAGAGACTGTTAGGGCTTAGTGTTTGCACGAATCAGCAAAACAGTAAGATATAGAAAAAGTTACAAAATCCCAGTGGTAGTACAGGATTTACATAGTGTTTGGGTTGTGACAAACTCAAAGACAAGCATCATGCAGCCTCTAACAGCCATTAGAGATGAACAGATGAGAAAGCAGAACAGTTTTGTAGATAAAGGGCCAAAATTGCCAGGCATAAAATAATCCAGTCCAAAACCTGAACTGAGAACAACAGAAACGTATTTTTAACAGCCTTACTTTAGTTCACTGCGTTAGAAAAAAACCCAAAATATAGTTTAAGTGGAACTTACAAAATACACGCTTCAGAAAAAATCTGGTCTAGCGGGTAAAGAAACAGCAGTTTGACCAGATCAGCTAGAGGTATTCTAGGTTTCAGTAATCCTTGTACATTTTAACACCAAAAACCCCCAAGAACCCAATAGACAAGAGTAAGTTGAAACAGTCTGGACTGAAGGGGAACAATATGAGGACCAGACATTCATGCAAGTGTATGCTATCCCCAGATTTAATCCAAATGTTTTTCAAAACTCGGCCATTTATTTTCCTGTATTACCCAAGAAGCACTGGACTGGGAGTGGAGGGAACGCAAGGACTCTGCTTTCCCAGAGATCTGGAAGGTGCGGGAGAGGAGAGGGGATTACATCTGCTTCTTTTTCAAGACTGAGATTTCACTCCAGCCTTAAGCTGTTCTGCAAAATTAAACCACTATAGGGGGAAAAAAAAAAAGATTTACAATGGAAACACCGATCATCTTTATTGTAACGGCAACAGTAGTTTCATTATAGTAAAGAATGTTAGAGAACTTAAATCTTTATAAGCCCAGGTAAAGTAGTTTACCAGCCTCAGTAAAACCCATGGCTATGAATCACACAAGACAATCACTTGGCTGTTATATTAATATTCCGTTCCACATTTGAGGCTCCACACTGCTCAGTATCTTCAGGCTCCCTATGCCACTCAGCCAAGTGTCCTGCCTGGTCATATTAGTGTATCACATCTAGAAGCTCTCTAAAATCCAAAAACAGGATTAAAAACCTGGTAGCATGTGCACCAGAAATCCAACTAATTAGCTGCCTTATGTTACCTTCAACAGGCTGGTTACAAAACGTGAGTTCTGTGACAAAAAAAAGATGCAAAGCTTGTCAGCTACAAGATAACTGTGAGCAACATACAGCGAGCACAAAGGGTTTAAGGAAAAAAAAAAGGGGAGGAAAAAATGGCAGGTCCAGTTTTCAGTATTTCCACCAACAAACATGGCAGCAACCTCTGCATTAGGGTTTGAAAACCAAGGCTTGACTATTTTCATTGAAGTTTAAAAAAAGGATATGGCTGCTTTGATAAGAACACATTAAAATGCCACCACACGCATCTCAAGTGTCTTGCATTGAGAGGGACATCCTGCTCTTATTATAAACGATAGCCCTGCTACGCTGCTTCCTAACTCCACTTCCTCCCAGCTTCCTCCTTGAACACTGTGCCCTGTCCAGCACTTCCCAGGCTTAGGGAGCAGAACGATGACCACCAGTCAGGAGCAGACATGTGGTGAGGGAGCAAAGCCTCCCACGCTGTAGGAGGGAATGATGAGGAAATGGAAGTGGTATCGGGTGATGCTCACTACCCATGGAGTCTGCTGTCCAACACTGCAGCTGGAGAGGCTGAGCGGTACCACACTACAGAGCCTTTCTGAGGACAGATGGAGGGAGAGAAGAGAAACACTTAAGCGTGACTCATGGGATCCGAGACTGACCAGAGCATTACAGGAATCCTTTGCTTCACATTTATAGAAGGACATCCCACGCCTCAAAAGCTAAAGAATTTAGTTTTACACTACCTATTTTTTTTTCTTGGAAAAAACTTTAGGCATTTTCCACAATACCAAAAGGAAACTAGAGGTTTAAAAATTGTTTTCAATTTCTCTTCCCTATTCTGTCCACCTATAGTCAACCTTGGAAGAAATAAAATAAAAGTTAATGGATGTGAGAAGCTTGTAGGTTGTATATCTGAATTTGTATAGAATGAACTGCAATTTGCCTAAAGCAGAATAGTTTTCTATCCAGCAAAGACAAAAGATCTCACAACCTAATTGGAAGGTCTTGTCTAAATAAAAGGCAGTGGACCATCTACAAGTCTCTTCATTGCTTTCCATTAAAAACGTGCCTGAATCCAAGAAACACAGGTTTCCTCCCCAAGTTTCCTCTTCCTTAATTGGAATTTTTATCAACTACATTTTTTTCTGAGGGTGAACTTATATCAACAAAAGTCTGTTAAAGCACAGGTTCATTCCTTTCACATAATCAAATATAGAATAATAGCTTTAAAGAACTCTTACCAGCACTGGGAAATCTATTCTACTTAACGATTTTTAAGTATGGTCTCCACGTATCAGTCTCAAACCTTATTGCTTCACAACTGCAGTATCCCTTGAAAAAAATATATATTTAAATGGTCTGTTAATTTGTCTTAAATGGCTTTCAGATTTGATGGGGGAGGGAGAACGGAATGGCCAACAGAGAACATTGACTTCAAAATATTACTGTATAAGGGTTTCCTCTTATTAAAAAAAGGATACACTGTATTAAACAGCTGAAAGTAAAGACAGCATTCAAAGCCCATGAGTCAAGCCACAGCCAAAACCGTGTTCTAACCCTAAGTATGTTTTCTTTTCCTTTTTCTTTTTTTTTTTCCTTTTTTTTTAAACAAAGATTTCCTCAACTGCCCTTTAATCTTCACCAGAGGGTGCTTCATCTTCAGATCCCTCGTCCCCTGACTTCTCTTGTGGAGGGCTGGCTGATTTTTTCTTTTCTGGGGGACTTTCAGGCTCTTCATCCTCTTCTTTGGGGGACGGGGTCTTTTCTTTTGTTGCCTTGGAAGCTGTGGGGCGGCCTGCTTTCCCTTTGCCTTTCACTGGACTGGGGGTCACTGGAAACAAGGAGAAAGTTTTTTATAAACTTACGATCAGTAACAGAGACAAAAAGTCACACAGTTTTATACAAACAGGATTTACAAGACACTTCAGTAGCAGGTTTCATTTTGCTTTGACCATACCACACGTGGTGTGTTTTGCACTCCGTAGTAGTAAAGCTGAACCGTAAAGTTAGCTAACAAGATCTTAAAACGATTTAATTGCAAGTCCTGACTAATCACTGGATATAATAAACTAACATAGCTAGCCTCTTGTCAAACCTGTACATACGTTGCTATTACAATTTTAGACTTTTTGCAGAAATGCATCAAATTTTCCTTTGCTTCAGATTTCTCCACCTTCCTCCACCCTCAAAGCATCACAAAGTCCAAACAAGGCCACAGATTATATTATTTGGCTATGATACACAGAAAGTCAGACGACAGCATCTCAACGGGGCAAGTTTTGCAATCTACACAGTTTTTGCCAACGGGACATAGACAGTAACTCAATCTCTTCAGTCAAAGTTAAAGCTACCTTACTATTTCAAAACGCTGCTTTAGATCATGGCACATTACATGAGCAAGCCCTTCAACATTCCATGTGAACGTCTACTGACCTCAAGGTTCCTACTGAGTCTTCTATAGTGAAAAAGAAAACACTAGCCTCTAAAGCAAACTGCGTAACTTTATTTCATAGACTCACCTGTGGCCTTTAGCCTGGGCTTCGGCATTTTCTTTTCTTTCCTCTCTGGCTTGGATTTCTTGGAGACCTTTTTGTTTTTCTTTTTCGAACTGCCATAGTCACTATCATCATCATCTTCCATGAGGAAATCTTCATCGCTTCCCGAATCTGCTGAAAGCGCACAGACATTTAAGTTTTTGGAAAGCAGAAAAGGGAGCAGAAGATACAGCTGAGAGATCTGCCAGTGGAGACAGGAAACCAGGGCTCTGTGACCTTATGACATTCCACCGATCTGCTGTACTAAGGAAATGTAACAGCAGAAGATTCAACACTGAGGGGGATAAGGCATGAGACTAAACAGGCAAGTGTCTGGAGGTCCTCAAAACATCCTCCATCTCCTCAATAGGAAACCCATCTCAAAATACAGATAATCTCTTGACAGAGAGAAGTTAAGTGATCTCTTCAATGACACTATTACTCCATTCTGAGATCATTCTGGCACTCAGCATTTCAGGACCTTACTGCGGTTCATGACCAGCTCAACTTTTGCTGTCTGGCCAGACCCATATCTACTGTCCATTACTACACCCATGTCACACTGACTTTAAATTCTTACAATCCCATTTACTCACTCTCCTGGAACTGTGCCTCATCATCCTCTTGTTCTTCCTCCTCACTACCCACGTCATCCATAAGCATCTCTCGTTGTTTAGAAGCTGCTTTGGATGCTGCCTGTCGTTGCTGACGCACATTTTTGTGATCTTCTTTCTCGTCCTCGCTGTCCTCTGCGGCAAAAGTCACCACGTTACAATGAAAGTTCAGAACACAGACCACCTAACTGTCTTGAGCACATGGGCAAGACAAAGGTCAAGTCATTTGTGAGAAAGTTAATCAAGAAACTGGCTGAGTAACTGAGCTGTGAGGAGGACACGGTCACATGCAACCTAATAAGCATGTTTCTGTAGTCACCCAACAATGATGCCATGCTTATCTTTCACTGCAAAGACTATCAGCCTGTTTCTTTTTTACCTGCAGGCCTTTTCCTGGATTTGGAGGCTGCTCGCTTATTCTTGTCTGGTTTAGCCTTTTTTCCTTTTTTGCTTTTTTGAGAGCTCTCGTAGTCACTGTCAGCTTTGCCATCATCTGCTCCTAAGTCGTCATCTTCACTGCCAAAATCTTCATCTGGAAGGAAAAGGTACGAATATAAAGTTTCTTGTATCATTCTGAAATAGGGACGAGAACTACAGGGAAGAGATTAAATACATCAACCTGTGATGACAAACTTTATACCAGGGTTGGAAGTAACAGTAGAGGCAGCATCCAGCTTAAGATAAGTGTATTAGAAAAGTGCATGCTTCTCTGTAATTTCTCAACAATTCCTTTTCTATGTCAAATCATACTCCTGTAACTCTTACAAACTGGTCTTTATTTTGAAGATACACTATCAGTACAGTGTAGGTACCTGCTGAATGTGAATCGTCTTTCTTAGTCTTCACATCTTTTTCTTCTGAATCCTCACTGAAAATGAGAGAAAGAGAGGGCTTGACTGCTGTTTGAACTTTGGTATCAGTCACTGTTGTACAGAAAATAGCACATTTCAGAGAGCAAACTGATCTTTAGGCTGGGAATATGCACTTTTACTGGGACATTACCACATTACACTTCAGGATAACTCAGCTGTGTATGTAGTTATCGTGAATGGAAAAATAATGTTCAAACTCAATCACATACAATCTTACAACTCAGTTATCAAAACAAGTCACTTTGTTTATGTGTAAGAAAAAAATCGGAAATAAGAAACCAAGAAACACAAACTAAAAAATGCCCCCTACTCCCAACTGCCACCGTACTGTCCCATTTAATCTTTAACCACAGGAATGCTGAGCACACTGAAAAAAACTGGAAAATGAGATGCATCTTGCCACTAACTTACCTGGATAATGGTACTAGTTGCCAGTTTTTGTGACTCGGACCATATTCCTTCCCATTCCAACTGTCTAGCTCTGGAAAGCTATTTTAATGATGAAGTACCAGCGACAAGTACTTCACACGTGATTTCCCTGTCTATTCAGATAAGAACGAACCACCTCAATGTCCAAGCTGGTTATGGAAGCTTCGCATCTTACACTGCAGGCCTTGAATTCCACTTACAATCATCCTTCTCAGAGGATACTGCTCCCACACACAGGACAAGGTCTGGAAACACGTTTGTAACACATGAAGAGCTTCTCTTACCTGTCCTCCTGAGAATTCTTCCCAGATCGCCTCTTATTTTTAGCCTCCCGGGGAGATGAGCGGATTTTCTTGGATGGGGGACCTGAATCTCTTCCATAATCTTCATCTGGACGGGACAGTACAAAATGGTTTTGAATCAAACTCCTAGTTCCCAGCAAACTGACTTCCTCAGCTATAACTTAAACTGACCATTTCATGCACATCAAAAAGCAGCCCTTCAAAGAAAAAAAATCACAAAGCTTCAAACAAAACTTTATAGAAGCAAAGTCCTGTCTTAAACTAGAGATTTACCTTTTCTTCTGCCCACAGCACTATAAAAATGCCACATACAATCAAGACTGACACAGGACTATTAGGAAACAGAGCACACAGTATCTCATTTTACGGCTACTCAGAAACAGAGTTATTATGTACAGCTATTAAAAGTTAACATCCATACATATTTCTACAAGCACACACTTTATTTACTGTCCTATGATGGAAAAAGTATGTCACCATATAGTAGTTAACATCGTAGAGCTTTTTACAACTATTATGCAATACCTTATACAATATGAGAAACAGGACTGCAATTAAGAACTACGCATATTTGTTTCCATTAATTATCAGTGCAACCTCACTTAGCAAACAGTAGCAGCATGTCTATTTTCTAAGAACACAAAACATATTCCATATGGCTTCCAGAAAGATTTTAATTCACACAGAACATAAAGGGGTTTTTATAGATGCAATTCACAAAAATGCCTGACATTATAGGATTAACTAGAGTCCACTAAAATAAATTGAAAACATATTTTACTGCAGAAAAAAGTGGCATCGGGGAGATTCTGCCACAGAACATAGCACAGACCGAGGAAGAAGACAGTTGCTGCCAACAGCCTCAAGGCACGACAACAATACGAGCATTAAATAATAAGATTTCTATCACCATTGTTTGTTTAATGCAAAACATACAAGAATCATTATATTTTCGAATACTTATTAACAGTTCAGAGATTGTGAAGAGCAGAAACTCCTCTGAATTTAAGCATGTAACTAGAAGCAATCAATTAATATGCAAAGCAATAAATGAACTACTCTACCCCAAGAATATTATATTGTTAAGAAAAAAAAAAAAGCATTTACCAGCATCATCTGATTCCTGAAACTGGGAGTAATCGACCACCTTCCTGTTCCTGTTTAAAAAGCAGGGGGGGAGGAATTAGCAATTCATGATCTCAGAAACACAAAAGCTTTCTTCAAGTAACAAGAAAGTGTCATATTCTTGATTCCAGTGCAGGATTTGTAGCCCAAAAACTTCCCAAGAAAACTCTTAAGTAAGCTACCTATACCCTGAAAGTCAGAAACAAGCACACAGTACATTCCAGCACTGTCCCAAGGAGCCATTAGAACAGGCTGGGTTATATTCTCAGAATTTGGAAGTGCTCTTTGATAGGTAACGCTCTCCTACGGCTCATGACGGCCGTGAAGGAGAGCCATCTTAACCTACACTACACGGTTCTTTCATTATTAAAACTACGACTCTACCATTATTACAACTAGCCTAGTGAAAGCGCTCTATTAAAGCAGTATCTGCACCCCAAAATGAAAGACGCATTTAAAGAATTCATCAGCCTGAACTTGGAGCCACAGCTCCCCCTAACACCCTTTCTCAAAGCTGTGCTATTTCAGACCAGGATTCCAGGTATAAAACAAATACACAAATACTATAATGGATTACATCAACATTTCCTAACTGCTCTTTTTTGAATTTCTGCTTCTCATAGCTCAATGTAATCATGCTCGCTCTCACATCTCCTTGTGATTTTTGTTTCTAAAGGATTTTAAGTTTCCACCAGGGGCTTCTAGGGAGCTTTCTCAGTTACTCTGATGCTCTAACAAGGCACATGAAAGCTGTTACAAAGCTTCATGGTATCACTAGGACAAAAAAAAACCCTACTGCACCCAACCCATGTTTTTGGACAGCAAATGAGTATTGACCTGTACTTTCTCTCCCTCATCAGCACTTCCCTGCTCTCCAACCAAACTGAAAGCACAGGTAATGAGCTATCAGTAACAGTGCAAATGCAATGGCCATTCTAGACAAAATGAGTTAAATACACAAGCAGCTATTACTGAAATAAATGCTTCACTTGCCAACAAAATTAGATCTGTTTCTGTAACGTACCGAAACCTAAAATAACCAACCCAACCCCAAAACCAAAATGCAAGTAATTGTTGGCTACCTTCTCAGCACCTGTCCCAATCACTTCACTAACAAGACGTATCTGCCCTGTAATACAGCTACTGAAGGGAACCAAGACAGCTACAGAACCAAATCATATTTGAGTTCTCGCTGTTAACACCTCAGTCAGACCCCAAACATCCACCTCTTACGGCTGACATGCAGTGGGAAGAGAAGACAAAGCTGGAAAAGGCACCAGAGATTCAGACACCCCTCTACACACACTTTTTACAATCCCTGTGACCCAAAGCCAAGGATGAACTTGATTTTGTAGTAATAATCACGTGAACTCACTTTAACAGCTTGAAAAGTCAGGCAAGCAAATAGTCACCGCAAGCTCCATTCAGCACACAAACCACAGTGCCCTGCCCTTCCCTGCACTGCAGAGCGCGACTGCTCAACTTCACACTGAGTTCCCACGACGCAACTGCGTTTTGTGACGAGTATCACGCATTGCTGATAAGACTGTGTAATTGAAAGACACCCCAGCAGTCATTGCTGCATTCTGGTTGTTGAGCCATTTGAAATCAATTACAAGTTGTCCTCCCATACAAGTACTTCTATTCATGGCTTACACCAGCAGCCTTCAAAAGATGAAGGAGCATCATTATTTTACTTCAACCATACCCCAAGCCTCTCAAAAACCTCCAAAACACCCTTCTCAACCCTTCAACAAAGAAACAAACAAGCAAACAAAAGGAAGCAAGACCAAGCATTTGATTTCTACAGGCTGAATCCTATCCAAGCTTCAGAGTACGCATGAGTGGAACAAAGTACAACAGCAGTGTGCCACAGAGCACTGCTCGCTCACGCGCAGGCCGAATACGGTAAAATGCCGATTTAGGAATACAACCACTGGCAAGGCTCTTTATGGTGTACTGTCCAGAGAGTCGGTCCTGTTCCAACAGCTAGTCGCACACCTCACTTATTTCAGACACCCATATTCAATCAGGTACTGCAAATGCAGCAGTCAGATAAAACATGAATGTAAAACACTGTCTGTGTCCTTCCTCTTTCTAAGCATTGTATCCTACAATTTCCGCTAGAAATTAAATCCTGCAGGGCAAGGAGAAGGCTGGAGGAAAGGAGGAATATCTCCACTGATATTACTGAAGGTAGAAACTTGCAAGTCTTCCCAACAGAACTAGAGATGCTCACAAGGGCAGAAACATCAAACAAATGCTCTTTGCATCTGCCATTCTCCTCACTCTGTGCTCATCATTCACCTCATTTACAACTTACGTTTTCCTTTAGAACTGTCAACAGTGCTCATGTGCAATGCTTAATAACTACCAAAGAGAGACTGCATCTTTTATTACACCAAGGTGATAAAGAGACAGGATAAGTTCACTGGAGTTAAAAGCCAGAAAAAAATATATTGCTGGTTTTGTCAATGAAGAGTATCTCTTTGCCACTGGCAAAAACTAGATGACGTTAAAGCAACCAGACATAAATATAAACTATTTGTTAAATTCAGTTAGACTAAGCATAAAAAGGCAGTCTAGCAGACATCTGGGATGGATACTGTTCAATCTGGTTTAAAATATGCACTGCAATTTTACAGTTACTTACTTGTTAATTCAGCTTAAGATTTAAAGTGCACGTGAGAAGGAACTGGGGGAGAAAAGGTGTAGAGAGAGGTCCCGAAAGCTTAAGTTTTTAGTAATGGCTGTCAGTCCAATATTTCTGGAATAACGAGTAATTCATCTAGCAAGCCATCAACACATTAGGTCAGATGCTCTTACTTAGCAAAGAAATATCAAGTAATTTAATAAGAACTCAAACACACAGCGACTCTTACAACCCATACTTGATGCCTACCAAACTGAAATCTGGAAGTGATGAACAGCAGTTTTAACATTTAAAAGCATCACTAAATGCCTATACAACTGACTAAGGATTGCACAGTAATACCCCATCTTCTGCCAGGGAGGTCCCTAAACCCTCAGTCCTTGGAAGTCAGCAAGTCAGAACACAAACAATCAGGAAAAAAGCTTTTGGTTTGTTAAAAGTGAATGCTTAGATCCCCAGGTATTTCCACAGCATGAAAATCCACAGATAAAGTCCAAGTTTAAAAAAATTAAAACTACTACTGAAAAGCAATGCTAGGAGTTTTTAGAAAGCCAAGATCTGATCTCCTCATGCACTGAAGAGAAATGTCTAGGTCAAATGATCACCAGCAGAAGGAGCCACCTATCCTCTTACACAACACAGCAAGTAAAATGAGTGACAGACTAAATGGTTACCGAGGTTTTAATTACAGCATTTAACCCATAACCATCAAACAAAGCATCTGTGAAAAACACTCTGGGGTGTTCTTGATCTGAAAGGCTGGGTGCAGGCCTGGCCCACAGTGGTCCCTTTCACCTCCTGGTTCTCACTCCAGTTGGGAAAGGTCCTACTTTGAGGTCAACATCATAAATACTGCCACTAAAAGCACCCCTTTGGTGCCTTTTTTATACACAGGAAAAAAGTTAGATAGGAAATATTTCTTTGAGGTATTCTCAAAGCTGCAAATCAAACAAGTGCTCGATGGAGGCCTTAAATGAACAGCCATTCATTTACAAAAACGCATCAGAAGTTGAAACATGGAAGCCAGTGCCAGTTTTGTCCCCAGAACACGGCGCTGTGGGGTCCGTCTGTGTCAAAACTGGCACAGCTGCACTCAGACAGGACTCGGCCACCAGACGTCCCCAGTTACAGAGGTCACTGTGTGGGTCTGGACTTGGGGTAACTCCAAACATCTGTAAGACCAGGCACTGATCAGGGTACCTGCAGAATTTTTTACAGATACACATGACTTGAAACTTGAAACAATTAAAGTGATTATGCAGCAATACTTTAAGCAGCCTTGTGCCCATCCTCTATTTGAAACTAACTACAATTGAGAAGACTGCAAAATACAATATAGAAATGTACTGATGCACAGCAGGGGTGGGGGGAACAAACCCCAAAACACACACACAAAAAAATCAATTCAGCAACCTGTGTTGTTCCTGGTTTTTATTCTACCACTACCTTGCTCTGTGTTTCTCTTTAGATTGAAAGTCTTCAGAGCAAGGATCATATCATATCACAAGCCTCTATAGCTTATCTGTGCATCACTACTCGAGTTAAATGCCAGCTTCCAATAAAGTGCTGCTTTCCTGCTACCCCATGGAAGTTTTCCAGCATCACAATATTTATACTTTACATCATCCAGGTACAACACTGGCAACAAGCCAACTGATATTTAATAAATATAATTTTCCCTGCAACTGGTATTTCAAAGGACCACTTTTCCACCGCAGTGCCAATGAAGACTGGGATTCGAGAGTTACTAATAATGAAAAATGATGCAAAGCCTTGAAGCACTGAGAGAGATCAATTCATAACTGGCTTTAATCTTAAAATGAACAAACAAAACCCCTGGGATTTCCGTAGTGGCGCCCAGGGTTTCATTTTTCAGTAGCTGCAGGAGGGGAGTATCAGCAAGTGGAAGTGACCAGCGAGAAAAAGCACAAGTTTCATCAAATTTTGAGTCAAAATTCTTACTTAAAACACATTAATTGATGCTGTACACACAAACAGTGGCTCATAAGGTTTTATTTCACTTGTATTCAGGAATAGATAGGGACATAATGTACCACCAGCTCCAGATGCTCTTTGCAGTACTTCAGAGGAGCGGGCCACAAGAGGTTCAGTAACTGTAGGTTCCTTAACTTTTTCCTTCTTGTTTCCTAACAATAGTGCAGATACCATCGTTAACCACCCTGGAGAGGTTTAATTGTGAAGTACTTGGCTCTGAGTGCCAGGCACATGAAGCCTGGAAATACCAGGACTTTATTACTACTTAATAACTAAGAAACTGAATTCAACAAGCAGAGTCAGTCTTAAGGCAATCTTCTACCAATGAGTAAAAACTGGGCACGTAGCTTGGATTTTATTAAGTTCATTATTTCAGGGGTGTAT